CAAAAAAAAAAAAAGTAAATATAGAGATTTCACTGTAAAGGGCAGCCCGCTGCACTAATCTCCCGCTATGCGCGGGTCCGGGGAAGGACCGGACCACAAGGATCAATTGTACGCAGTCTTACCCTGCATTTATGCAAGAGAATGTTTCTACCACTCGAACCCATGGCCTCCTGGTCATATGGCAGCAACTTTACTAGTCTGCTTCTGCTTTTGACATAAACAAAGGGCTGTTGGTTTTTTTGATAATGGAGGAAAATCAATGGCGGAACAGAGAGGAGCAACCACCCTTTTAATGAAAATCTCAAAACTCTCTGTTTTGCCTCATTTCTTTCTGGGCTAACCTTTTCTTAAGTCAGCATTTAAGAAAATAACCTTCCAAATGAGGCTCAGATCTGTTAAATTGAAGCTAGGGCAAGAGATTGGAAACACCGCCATGGCTGCAAATACCGGTTGGAAAATCATTTACGATCCAGGTTACCCCGCCAAGATACGGGTCCAATTGTTCACTTCCCTAATTGATTTGCTCAGAGACAGAAGAAAAGACATAATCACAGCCTCAGATTTTTACTAAAATTGTTATTATTATTACTACTACTATTGATTCTCTTTATGGGAGAGAGGATTTGGAGATAGAGTAGAGTGGTCGTTTGGACATAGTTTACTGCAGAAGGGCATTTTTTGGACAAAATGAAATCACAGGAATTGTAGAGAGGAGCAGCTGCCCTTAAGCTTCCCTCTACTCTCTGCAACCCTCATTCTTTGTCTATGAGGTTTTAGTTTTCTGCTTTGTGTCAAAAGAGAATTATTTAAAAGATCGATATTTCTTACTTTGCCCTCTGACATACGCTTATTTACAACCCTTTAAAGATAATCCCATATGTTTTGCCTCATTTCTTTAAGCCACCCTAGAACTAGTACTTATCATCCCAGCATGTTTCATGCAGACAATGGGGTAGGCTCAGATTCGCCTTCTCTCAGACAAAACCCCAAAAAGCTGAGGAAAAAGACCGCCATGGCTGCAAGTATCAGTTAGTCTTATGAAACAGGAAAACACACAAAAAAAAATGGATAATTCTCCAATGTCTCAAAGACCCATCTGAGCTGCCACGCCAAGATTACAATTTTTTCCCAGCTCAATAGATTTATAAGTCTGATTCATCTTCCACAGAAAAATAAAATCTTCATAGCCTCATTGCGTCACATAAATTGAAAGGGAGGGAGTAATACGTATTTTCAACAAAAGGGTGGTTTTAAAAACGGACATTTGAGTGATCATTGGCGGCGAACAATTACAGAGAGGGGCAAAACCACCCAATGAAACTCCCTACAGCTCTCTGCCTTGAAAGCAGCCTCATACTAACTAATGAGGTTTATGCTACTTACCTGTTAATCCAAGGGCAGCACGGTGCACAAGACAACCGCGTTCGCGCAAGGTCCAGTGAAGGGCCACACTCTCAAGGGGTGTGATGTAGACAGATACCCTAATGCAAGCATCAGTAGCTGTGACCAGCTCGAACTCGTGACTGACAGGTCACACGAGGAAAACATTACGGTTACTCCAAGACTCCCCTTCCTATTTACCTGTTAATCCAAATCATAGAAAAGATTATCTATTTTTTCTTTACTTGCAAATGGGGCTCATATATGTTGTGATAAGGCAAAGAGAAGCCAGCTACGCCATGGCTGCAAAACAGCAGTTGCAAGTGTGACAGAAATCTCAATCACAGGCCACATCGGGTTGCCACGCCAAGATACGGCTCGGGTCATCTCTATGCCAAAATCGGTTAGCCCAGATACAAGAAACATCATCATCACTGCCTCTTTATGTAACTTCCATCAGCAACATGAACACACACACACACACACACACAAAAAAAGTAAACAGATTTCACTGGAAAAAAATTACTTTTTTCCGGGATTTCATAATTCTTATGTACAAACGTCCACTTAAATCCTGTCTGCTTCTGATTTTGTCGTAAACAAGGGCTGTTGGGTTTTTTTATTTTTTGAAAATGGAGGAAAATCAATGGCGGAACAGAGAGGGGCAACCACCCTCCTAATGAAAATACCAATAATCTCTGTCTTGCCTCATTTCTTTCTGGGCTAACCTTTTTGCATTTTTAGGGAAAATTCTCGCCGATATTTCACCTGCGAATTTCAAAATCTAACGGAAAAGAGCCCATAAATCTGCGTTTAAGAAAATAACCTTCCAATTGAGGCTCAGATCTGTAATATTGAAGATGAGGGCAGAGATTAGAGACACCGCCATGGCTGCAAACACCGGTTGCAAGTCGTCACCGTCCGGGTTGCCCCACCAAGTTACGGGTCCAATTGGTCTCCTGCCCTAATCAATTTGCTCAGAGACAGAAGAAAAAATTATTATCATAGCCTCAGATTTTTGCTACAATTATTATTATTAGTACAGTCTGATTCTTTTTTGGGAGTGAGGATTTGGAGATAAAGTAGAGGGGTCATTTGGAAACAGTTTACTGCAGAAGGGCACTTTTTGGCAAAAAAAATCAAAGGAATTAGCAGATAGGAGCAGCTGCCCTTGAGCTTCCCTCTACTCTCTGCAACCCTCACTCTTTGTCTCTGAGCTTTTAGTTTTCTGCTTTGTGTCAAAGCGAACCATTTAAAGCATCGATAATCTTGTTTTGCCTTTCTGGTGTGTGTTTATTTACAACTTGGTCCATGCTATAGTAGGCTTATCATGAATGTGTTATGATTAAGGCAAAGAGAAGTCAGCTACGCCATGGCTGCAAAACACCAGTTGCAAGTGAGACAGATATCTCAATCACATACCATACCGGGTTGCCACGCCAAGATACGGGTTGGGTCATCTCTACGCCCAAATCGGTTAGCCCAGATACAAGAAACATCATCATACTGCCTCTTTATGTAACTTCCATCAGCAACATAAGCGCACGCGCGCACACACACAAAATGTCAATACAGATTTCACTCGGAAATTTTTTTACTTTTTCCGGAATTTTACAATTCTTATGTCCAAACGCTGCCTGCTTCTGTCATAAACAAGGGCTGTTGGTTTTTTTTCTGAAAATGCAGGAAAATCAATGGCGGAACAGAGAGGGGCAACCACCCTTCAAATGAAAATCCCAATACTCTCTGTTTTGCCTCATTTCTTTCTGAGCTAACCTTTTTACATTTTTAGGGGAAATTCTCGTGGATTTTCACCTGTGAATTTCAAAATTTAACGGAAAAGAACCTGTAAGTTTGCACTTAAGAAAATAACCTTCCAATTGAGGCTCAGATCTGTAATATTGAAGACAAGGCAAGAGGCTGGAGACACCGCCATGGCTGCAAACACCGGTTGCAAGTCGTCACCGTCCGGGTTGCCCGGCCAAGTTACAGGTCCGATTGTTCTCTTGCCCTAATCAATTTGCTCAGAGACAGAAGAAAAAATCATCATCATAGCCTCAGATTTTTGCTACAATTATTATTATTATTACTACTATTGATTCTCTTTTTGGGAGTGATGATTTGGAGATACAGTAGAAAGGTCGTTTGGATACAGTTTACTGCAGAAGGGCATTTTTGGCAAAAATGAAATCACAGGTATTGTAGAGAGGAGCAGCTGCCCTTAAGCTTCCCCCTACTCTCTGCAACCCTCATTCTTTGTATGAGCTTTTAGTTTTCTGCTTTGTGTCAAAAGAGAACTATTTAGAGGATCGATATTTCTTACTTTGCCCTCTGATATACACTTATTTACAACCCTTTAAAGACAATCCCATCTGTTTTACCCCATTTCTTTAAGCCACCTTAGAAGTAGTATTTATCATCCAGGCATGTTTCATCCAGACAATGGGGTAGGCTCAGATTTGCCTTTTCTCAGACAAAACCCCAAAAAGCTTTGGAAAAAGACCGTCATGGCTGCAAGCATCAGTTAGTTTTATGAAAGAGGAGAAACACACATAAAAATGGATAATTCTCCAATATCTCAAAGACCCATCTGAGCTGCCACGCCAAGATTACAATTTTTTTCCCAGCTCAATAGATTTATATGTCTGATTGATCTTCCACAGAAGAATAAAATCTTCATAGCCTCATCGCGTCGCATAAATTGAAACGGGGGAGTAATACATATTTTCACCAAACGGGTGGTTTTGCAATCGTACATTTGATTGATCATTGGCGGCAGAGAATTGACAGAGAGCAGCAAAACCACCCAATGAAACTCCCTACAGCTCTTTGGGAGACAGAAATCTCAATCACAGGCCATACAGGGTTACCACGCCAAGATACGGGTTGGGTCATCTCTATGCCCAAATCGGTTAGCCCAGATACAAGAAACATCATCATCACTGCCTCTTTATGTAACATCCATCAGCAACATAAACACACACACAAGAAAAAAGTGAATACAGATTTCACTGGAATTGTTTTTTACTTTTTTCCGGAATTTTACAATTCTTATGTCCAAATGCTCTCTACTTCTGCTTTTGTCGTAAACAAGGGCTGTTGGGTTTTTTTGAAAATGGAGGAAAATCAATGGCGGAACAGAGAGGGGCAACCACCCTTCGAATGAAAATCCCAATACTCTCTGTTTTGCCTCATTTCTTTCTGGCCTAACCTTTTTGCATTTTTAGGGGAAATTCTCGTGGATTTTCACCTGTGAATTTCAAAATTTAACAGAAAAGAACCTGTAAGTTTGCACTTAAGAAAATAACCTTCCAATTGAGGCTCATATCTGTAATACTGAAGACAAGGCAAGAGATTGGAGACACCGCCATGGCTGTAAACACCGGTTGCAAGTCGTCACCATCCGGGTCGCCCCGCCAAGATACGGGTCCGATTATTCTCCTGCCTTAATCAATTTGCTCAGAGACAGAAGAAAAAAATATCATCACAGCCTCAGATTTTTGCTACAATTATTATTATTACTATTACTATTGATTCTCTTTTTGGGAGTGAGGATTTGGAGATAGAGTAGAGGGGTCGTTTGGACATAGTTTACTGCAGAAGGGCATCTTTGGCAAAAATGAAATCACAGGAATTAGCAGAGAGGAGCAGCTACCCTTGAACTTTCCTCTACTCTCTGCAACCCTCATTCTTTGTCTCTGAGCTTTGTGTTAAAAGAGAATAATTTAAGGCATCCACATTTCTTGCTTTGCCCCTTATTTACAACTTGGGTCCTCAACATTTGGTACTATCATTATTAAGCATTGTTTGGTTTGAATAACGAGATAAGTTATATTGGAATAAGTTATATTGGGATTAGTTATTCTCGTATTATTTTTTATTCACTGTTTGGTATGTTATATTAAAAATGATAATTGTATAATTTTTAAAAAGAAGGTATAAGTTATTTCAGCACTAAATACCCCACCCTCTATAAGATATAAGTTATTTCGGTACTAATTATAATCCCGAGATAACTTATATCAAGTTTGCTAACCAAACAAAGTATTAAGGTGATATTAAATTTTTATACTAGCATTATACCTTCTTATACCTCGTACCAATCGACCCCTTAAAGTTTAATTAATATGAGTATATATTTCACTCCTCCACAAGACCACAATATTTGACTATTGTTTCAATTTGAATGGTACATTTCGTTATATAGAATCAAACTGTATGAAGTTTGACTAATATTTTAAAATATCTATAACTTATAATATTCTCGTATAATTTTTTATTACCTAAATTTTAATTTTAAAATATTGTTGAATTAATCCAATTTTAACTTCGAAATTTAGTCAAATTGACTTTCGAATTAGTGAAAGATACCATCTAAATTGAACGGAGTTATATTATTTATGCATTTTTTAAATCACTTATTTATCCTCTTTATTTATATTAAACCAATAATGCAAGATAAAATGATAAGAGCATGTAAATTCAATTAAATTTTTAATTGTTGGGGTTAAATTGTTTGGTTTAATATGAATATTACGTGTGAGTAGATTTTTGCCTGAAATTGATTGTCATATTATCCTTTAAGCTAGGTCATGTTTATTTCTGATTTTTGTTGAGTTTGGAATTGAAATCTTCTAAAGCAAGAGCTGATTAAATATGTATTTTTTCTTGTTATATTGATCATAATAAATGGAGCTCTTTAATAATCTTGAATTTATGAGTAACTAGTGTATGAGTTTTAATAGAGATATAAGAGAAGTTTTTCTTTCAAAAAAAATATAGACACACACATTTATATATGTGAGTAAATTATTTTTATATAGATGAATGAAGTTACAAATAAAAAATATTCTTTCAGAATTACAATTTAAAAATGTGAATTCGCATTGATGTCAAGTGATGACGTAACTAAAATCATGTGATATAAATTAGATAAAAGTGGTCATACTTCACATGTCTCCTGCCCTATTACCTCTTTTACTCCTAATTGTCAACTTTTTATCACATATTTTATAAGGGACTTCTATTAGCTTACTACATTGTCGTTAAAAAAGTACTTCCCTCCGTTTTAATTTAGTGACTCGGCACATAGTTTAATAAAAAAAAAAAAAAATTGAAACTTGTGATTTTAAAATGTTAAGAGGTAAAAGCTCTGTGGGGTCATGATATTTGTGTGATTATAAAAGTTTCTCATTAAGGGTAAAATGGGTAAAATGAAGAGTTTAAATAACAACAACAATAACAACTCAGTACCCCTACCTTGGGGTAGAGAAGTTGTTTCCAATAGACCATCGGCTCCCTCCCTCCAAGAACTCTCCACCTTGCTTTTGGGATGACTCGAACTCACAACCTCTTGGTCGAAAGTGGAGGGTGTTCATCACTAGAGCAACTCACTCTTGTCAAAATGAATAGTTTAAAATTTAATTATTTTCAAATTTAAAAATATGTCATTTATTTTGAAACATACTAAAAAAGAAAGTATATCATCTAATTTGAAACGAAGAAATTATAATAATACTATTCCACAAACTGCTGCATTCCTTTCCAAGTCCCTATATCATCTAACCCGCCTTCATCTGCTTTTACAATTTGATAAAACATGTCGAATAATTGAACATTTGAAAGAAACAAAGTTCATGCAATTAAGATTAGTATCCCTAGAAACAATGACTCTATTTACACCACAAAAAACATAGATATCAAACATAACCTTTGGTGTGACATTTGGATTTACTTCTTGATTAACACTCATCCAAATCCAAGAGAGTAGAGAATCTGAAATTGTTTTTCCTTTGGTCTCTTTGTAGTCCTACTGATCAACCCGCTTTCATAGACGCTATTGTTGTTCAATTCATATATCTTCTTGTTTCTTCTGTGATTAAAGATGTGCAGAAGAATATCCTAAGCAGAAGAGTTACACAAGCATAAGAAATTTTGAAGGAAAAAAGAGAAGAAAAGAAAAGGCAGAGGTACCAAAAATAAGGAAGATAAATACTATGATTCTTGGCGGCAACCTCACTTAGGTAGAGAATTCTTGATTTTAATTCTGTCTATTTTGTTTGTCATTTCTTTCTTTTTTTAATTTCCATACCAAAAGCTAAAATCTACTAAGCAAGACATACAACAAATTTTTTGTATCAGGAAAAAATAAAATAAAAAAGTTTAAGCTCAAGCCAAGTAGATTACGACTTCATTTCCATCTTCTAAGAAGAACTAGTACGGTTAGCCCGAGCTACGCCCGGGCCCAATTGTATAGTTAAGACGGTCAATTTTTACGACGTCATTTTCATTGTCATAAAAGTATAACTAAAAATTTATTTTGAACTTCCCAAAATATTGTTGAGTAGCTTGTTTGCAATCCTCATGCATTTCTTCCTCTTGAATTTTCAAAAACATAATACGTTTTAACTATAGGTTTTCAAGGTAATACTAGAGTAGTCTTGAACAAATTCATGAAGAATGTGTAAGATGTTATAACTATTGAGAAAGAATATTTAAGCTTCAGTTATGATTCGATCAACAATGTAAGTTTTGTGTGAGATGTACACAAGAGTCTGAAAAATAAATTAACGTTCAGAAAGTTGATAGTATATACAGTTCTTCTTTATATAATTTAAACTGAGTCCCTTAATCTTCGCCTTCATCTTAATATTTCTAATTTATGGTCTAAAATTGGAGAAGATTTTTCCTTTTTATCTATTTCAGTATTCAAAATTCTTTTATTTGTTATATCTACTCAGTAAATCTTGTAAAGCGTGAATTCTATATTTGATAAAATTAGTCCTTTTCATCCCCTAATGAGCCCCCTTCTTGTAATGAACTCGGGTTGCACTTTTTGTCTAACCTTGTTTCTTTTTAAAAAAAATTAATCTACATTTATCTCTTTGAACTCTAAAATCTTCTCTTCCTTGCATTTAGTTTGTTTTTCTAACATTTTTTATATTTTATTTATTGTGGATCTCCAATGTAATTATATAAATTGTTAATAATTTTAGTTGTAATTTTGGGTTTTCTGTTTTGAAAAAATCTATATTTGTTTGGGAAGTGATCACACAAAAGCACTTGATAAAACCACGATATTATTTCCTATGTGAACAGAATATTTAAGCTTTTTCGTGCGTTTACTTATTTATGTTTTGCATTTCTTTAATAAAATCCTTGCTCTTCTACTGAAACAACATATAGATTTGCATATTAAACACTGCATTAGTGTATGCGGTGATTATTTTTCTTGCACAACCAATTAAAACAATGCTTATGCGGTAATTATTTTTCTCCAATCTCGCCAATCAAACAATGCTTATTTTATGAGAATCATAATGTTTCCCAAAGGCAAAACCATCATATTTAAGAAACTTTTTACGAGATTCATTAAGAAAACAAAATGTGGATCTGGCTACTTATATCAAATACGATTACATACTCTGATCCATTTGCTATTGTGGGTTCTGATCCGCAATTCCTCCTTCACGGCTCCTGCAATAAGTGATATTTGCAAACGAGTCAAATCATACTATGTTGGGGTTTTACAAAAAATGTTAATTTTATTAATTATTTATTTTTTGGGTGGTATATATTATTTATGTAATAATTATACATAGTTATACATATTTTATCCATGGATTATATATACTACATAATTTTCGGATATTTTTAGTTTAAGTGGTTGGGTAAGGTGCTATATAGGTTAATTATTCCTTTAAATATTAGAATTATAATATAATTTTTTTTATAAAAGAAATCTCGTGTTAGAGTCCATCTTCAAAAAAAAATCCAAAACGAAAATAAATATCACAATTTTATTGGTTCTAACAATTACGTAAAAATCTGCTTAAAAAATGTTTGCTTCATTATCGTGGTTCGCTAATTAGCATTGGTAAATCTTCCGCTCAACTTATAATACAAATTTTTATTTACAATGTCAAGTTACTAAAAACTATTATAAATAGGCAAGCAATATTATACTCCCGTTCAAAAATAAGTGTCCTTTAATATTTTGGATATTGATTGAATAAGCACTCTCCACTTCCAACTAAGAGGTTGTGAGTTCGAGTCACCCCAAGAGCAAGGTGGAGAGTTCTTGGAGGGAAGGATGCCGAGAGTCTATTGGAAACAGCCTCTCTACCCTAGGGTAGGGGTAAGGTCTGCGTACATCTACCCTCCCCAGACCCCACTAGTGGGATTATACTGGGTTGTTGTTGTTGTTGTTGTTGATAACGATTGAGTAAATCATTTAATAGTATAATAAGAGTTATTTAACTAAGCTATACTTTATACCTTCTCAAATTACTCTTTATATATCCTCACATATCATTTATTGAATTACAGATAGATTTCAAAAATATAATTAATACATAGTTGTTTTTTAACGCAACACTTAGTTTAGCCAAATTAATTTATCTCTAAACTCATCTTGTACTAACGTATGAAATTTTACCAATTTTCACGTTACAAACTAAGGAAGCCTATTAATAGCTTAGGAAATGCATTGAGACATGTTTATAACCAATCTCTCGGCTTGTTAAACTCATTTCACTTATAGTCTTCGAGTTTTACGTAATTGCTAGTGTATACTATAACGAATATTTGGTAAGGAACCCATTCGGAATTCTTTGATAAGTTTGATTTCTTTAAAAAAAAGATACTTTTTGAATTTGTACAAATCACTTTACCTTTTCACTCTAAATCTTAAGAGTCCAAGCGAAATATTAAGTCAACAATTATCCAAATTCTTTGGCAGAAAACCTAACTAAAGTTACTTATAATTTCAAAAACAAATTCTAACAAAATACAGTTTTCTACCTTTTTTAATATATTGGAACATGAATTTGAATTCTATGTATCTTAATTTATTTTCGTTTTAAATTCTTTAAGCTTATATGGAAAATTGAAAAAATATATCATGTTTATACTATATTTGAAGTTTAAGGAAGTCCTTGCACAAGAATAATGGAATTACGTGGGGCCACGTTTAAAGGGGTGAAATTTATGAGGTATAGATGAATAAGATTACGTAAATTCTAAATAGAGCGGGGCCCACCTTATAAGAGAATTTATAGACTTGCCGATAAATTGAGCGCGTGCATGCAAAATGTGGGTGGAGGCCCCACTTTCTCAGCAAGTTTCTAGGCATAAATACAGAGGATACTAAAAGACTTAAATGCCCTTGTGAAACATGCATGTCGACGGTGAGCGTTTTTAGGTTTCAGGAATTGGAAGTCCACGCGTTGGCCAATGATAGAAAAAGTGAGCAGTTGAGCTGTAAATTAATAAAAGTACACAAATACCCCCCGGACAAAATAGGAAATTCAAGGGAACACACACGTTGACGGAGAGGTGCCTGTGTTCCCTCTTCTAATAAGTAGGAATTTCAATATTACTCCATATATTTTATTTATTTGTGTATACATTTTTTTCCATCATGGTTTAAGTTTGCATGTAATAAGAAATAGATTTGGCTCACCTACGGTAGGTGATCTCTCCCGTCCCTCCAATGCCACTATGCATAATTTATACGTGTCCATTCAATAATTTAACGGACAAGATTTATTTTGTTAATCAATTAGTATTAACCATGGTTATTAATTATCATTGCCTTATCACTTCCGCCTTTCCCTGTGAAAGGCAAGTAAGAACCTTTCCTCACCTGTCCAATCTCTTCGAAATATAGAACAAGAAGATGTAAATTGCTAATACGGAATCACTATAAAAAAAACACATTTTATCCCAAATCTTTCAATAAAAAAGAGACGAACAAAATAAAAAAGATGCACTTAGTTATAAAAATTTAAAAAACCAAGAAATGAGAAGCATTGGACTATTTTAAAGTTTGGTTTTGACGGCAATGGTGATGGACAAGCTACGCTGTATCTCCGGGAAAGAAAATTTTTAACTTGGGGGATTTTGTTAAACTATAAAGGCCAACTAAAAGACCTAAAGAGGGCATGAAAATTGAGAAGAATGAAAAAGGGTTGATGCACTAATGCAGAATTTGTGTTTCTCTTATGAGATCAACTATATTTTTTCTTGAGTTTTCTTTTTCTCTAGTTTTACATTTACAATTGTAATCTTTAACTGAGACTACTCTCTTAGTTTCAGCATTTCTCTGTTGAGATTCTTCCCATTTGTTCATTTACATGATAACAATTTCAGAGGTATAAGATATTATGAAATTCTAATTTTTCAGATACTTGGTTAATATAAAATTACAAATAGATGTTTTCATTTACTTGCTCTATTTTCTTGAGAGAATTGGGAGCGAGGGAAGGTTTCCTCCTATGGCAGTGAAAGGAAAGAGGGAAGAGAGAGGAGAGAGAACTGTTGGTAATCATAGTTAAAACCAATTGGTTAACAAAATAAATATCGTCCAATAGATTATTGAATAGACATGTGTAAACTATATAGAGTGGCAACGGAGGAACTGGAGAGATCATGTACATGAGGTGAGCCAAATCTGAAATAGATGCTCGACAACACCAAAATAAATTACAGTACATAATGAAATTATTTTTCGTTATTTGAACTAGAAGATAATTTTTCTCACTTTTGCAGGAAGAATATTTTTCTTACAATTCTTAAGTTTTTAATTTCATATTCTTAAGTTTCGGGTTCATGCCGGGTCGTTCGACTACAGAAGCTATACACCTTGTTAGAAAGTTGGTGGAACTATACAGAGAGAGGAAGAAGGATCTGTACATGCTGTTTATTGACCTAGAGAAAGCGTATAACAAGGTTCATAGAGAAATTCTCTGGAGATGTCTGGAGGCAAAAGATGTGTCGATTCCCTACATTATGGCGATTAAGGACATGTATGATGGGGCTAAGACTCGGGTTAGGACAGTAGGAGGCGACTCTGAGCATTTTCCGGTCGTAATGGGGTTACACCAAGGTTTTGCGCTCAGTCAGTTCTTATTCGCCCTGGTGATGGACGCGTTAACAAACCATATTCAAGGGGATGTGCCGTGATGCATGCTATTCGCCGATGACATAGTTTCTGATTGATGAGTCGCGAGCCGGTGTTAACGAGAGGCTGGAGGTTTGGAGATATGCTCTTGAGTCTAAGGGTTTCAAGCTGAGCAGGACGAAGACGAAATACCTAGCCAAGGGAAGTGGGCGTGGATGTGAGGCTTGATTCGCAGGTCATCCTGAGTAGAGACAGTTTCAAGTACCTTAGTTCGGTTATCCAGGGGGGAGGGGAGATCGACGAGGATGTCACACACCGTATTGGGGTAGGATGGATGAAGTGGAGGTTAGCATCTGGAGTCCTGTGTGACAAGAGAGTGCCACCGATACTCAAAGGTTAGTTTTATAAAGCGGTGGTTAGACCGGCCATGATGTATGGGGCTGAGTGTTGGCCCGTTAAAAACTCACATATCCAGAAGATGAAAGTAACAAAAATGAGAATGTTGCGGTGGATGTGCGGGCACACTAGGATAGATAAGATTAGGAATGATGATATTCGGGCAAAGGTGCAAGTGGCTCTCATTGATGACAAGATGCGGGAAGCGAGACTTAGATGGTTCGGACATGTTCAGAGGAAAAGCTCAGATGTTCCGGTACGGAGGTGTGAGCGGCTGGTTGCGGAGGGCACAGGAAGAGGTAGATGGCGGCCTAAGAAGTATTGGGGAGAGGTGACTAGGCAGGATATGACGAGACTCTAGATTTCTGAGGACATGACACTTAATAGAAAGATGTGGAGGTCGAATATTAGGGTTGTAGGTTAGAAGGTAGTTAAGTCGTGCCTTACTTCGTACCATTGTGGGCCTAACCATGTAGGGTTTTTGTCTAAGATAGCTAGTGGCAATGTTGTGGCTTACTATTTCGCTTTTCAATGCATGTCCTATTTATTAGCTATCGCTTTTGTTTCGTATCTTCCTTCTGGATTTCATGATGTTCCTATTTTTCATATTATTGTTGTTGTGATACTAATATTGTCTCCTTTTTATCCTTTTGTCTTTTTATTTTTTTGAGCCGAGGGTCTTTCGAAAATAACCTCTCTACTCCTTCGGGATAGAGGTAAGATCTGCGTACACACTACCCCTCCCAGACCCCATTAATGAGATTTTACTGAATTGTTGTTGTTTGTTGCTTCAACCAACAATATTTATTAGTAACAAATTTCAACTTCATCAAAATAATAATATGATTTGTTAATATTATTACTATATTTTCTAACCAAACATTTCAAATCATAAGCTAGTGTTAGGATATAGATTTGGTTGAAATTTTAACAAAAACAATTGAAGATGAGCTGAAAAATAATTTTTGGTAGTTAAAAATGTATTTGAACGTGCATTTTAGTTGATTAGAAGTTGAAATTTTGTAAATAAAAATTTTCGAAAACTTGTAAACCACTTTTTGAAAATTGAAAGATCTACCGAAAAACTAATCACTTTTTATATCCATACAAATATTTTCAATTTATTTCTGAAAAAATGAAAAAAAAAACTTATCTTGTATGAAAAACATTTTTGAATAAGAGGCTCATTTCTGCAAAGAAAAATCGGGCAAAAGAGAGGCGACCGCGTCATGGCTGCAAAATCACCGATTGCATGCAAAGAAAAAACCTTCAAATCGCCGGTCGTCTAGTGATTTGCGAGGCCAGCCCAGAATCAGGATAATATATCATCACTGCCTCAATTGTTATGTATCAAAAAAGAGGAACTAAAATCACAGAAACAGAGACAAGAGAAACAGAGATCTGGCTGTTGTTGTTGATTGATGCTGAAGAAATGACTTTGTAGTAAGTAGTACGTATTTCCAAAAATCCAAGGGCTGTTGAGTTTTTCCGATAGACCCTCGACACAAGAAGGAAAGAGACAGTGTATCAGTAACAAAGTATACAATGAAAACTATCCAACTTTATTTCTAGTTGAATAGTTGACTGTTTGTATGTGTCTATCACCACCCTCCTATACCAATTTGTCACCGGCCAATGGGGAAAAACGGCAAATAGTATTGTTTACAGAAATTCATGTCGGAACTGCAACACTCCTCTCAACCTTTCTCCACATTCTTGTACAAATTTCCAGTTTGCCTAATATCATCCCCTTAAACGAAAAAACAATTAGCACAGAATCAATCTAAAAAATTAGTGGGTATTCACAAAACAACCAATTGCTGCAAAATTTGCAATAAATTATAAAAAAATGAGCTTACCCTCTTATAAATGCATCGCCTTTCCTGCAAAGTTCTATGATCTTAGCTTTTGGCTTGAATTCTGACAACACCAACTGCAGAGCTCCTTCATAAATTGATGGAATCATATTACATTATTTCAAAGTTGAGTAATCAAATTGCAGCTTCGCGAAAAAAGGTCAAGTCCAATAGAACATCTCAGCAAAAAAGCAACTGAAAAATAGACGACATTAAAAATGCAAGATTTCTAGACAAAAGGAAACATATTTAGGCACACCCATGCCAAAGAACTGCGCAGGATTGTGATTCTTTACCCAGTTTGGAAACAGAGAATATAAGGGCTGAAGTATCGGGGAGTACCTCTTTAACGTATGATGCCTACATTTCAACAGAGAAAAATATATTATAGCACACCTATCTCGGAGCAAGTGCATTCCCATACACTAGAGATAAAAAAAAAACAGTGGGAAAATGAGATTATAAAAGAAACATATTTTTTGATTGTACCAAAAAAACAAATTTTCAACAAAGAAACTCAAAAATAGCCATTAGCATTCACATTCCAAGAATTCTAGTCAAAAGAAAACATTTTTATGCACACACATATCAAAGAAGCAGCATTATCAATCACAAATAGTTCAGAACAGAGGAAAATGGGCTAAGGCATCAACGAGTGCATCTTTAACTATATAGTGACTCAAAAATAGACCTCCAGCATACACATTCCTAAGAATTCAAAAACAAAGAACTTGTTGTTTGGTTGTGGTTCTGGCATTTCCGCTGTCATATCCATTTCCTGTTCAATTAGAAGAAAAGGACAGTCCGGTGCACTAAACTCTCGCTATGCGGGGGGTCCAAGGAAGGGCCGGACCACAAGGGTCTATTGTACGAAGTTTTACCCTGCATTTTTGCAAGAACCCGTGACCTCCTGGTTACATGGACAAAAAATCATCATCGCCTCTTTCAGGAAGTCAATCATACTCACCAACACTCGCTACGAATTAAATGCTTTGAAAAAACTGGATATAGCTTATATAGCAAGGTGAAAACTGGCCATTCCATGAAATTTTTACAGGGTTGTTGGGATTGTTACAGTAAAAGAGAAATCATGGGCTAATACAGAGAGAGGCAACCACCCTTTCAACAGAAAATCCTTAACTCTCTGAAGCCTCATTCTCGTTCTCCTGAGCTTTTGTTTTATTACAACTCCATAACAGTTCTTTTTATTCTATCCTGAAAGCTGTAAACATAAATTTATTCTTGTATATATTTCTCTTGCTTTCTTTAGGAATTAGGAGTGAGTCATTAGTTAAAGCTTTCGGGTAAGCTCAGATTAATGGTGTAAAACCAAGGAGAAGGGCAAAAACCAAAACCAAACTCAAAGTAATGGGGTAGGCTCAGATTTGCCTTTCCTCAGACAGAAACCAAAAGAGCTTTGGTAAAACCGCCATGGCTGCAAGCATCAGTTAGCCTTACATGACACAGAAGAAGCACCAAAAAATGGAATATTTTCCAATATCTCACAGACCCATCTGAGCTGCTATGCCAAGTACAGTTTTTTTCCAGCTCAATAGAAATATGTGTCTTATTCACCTTTCACAGAATAACAAAATCTCCATAGCCTCGTTGCATCACATAAAATGAAACAGGGGTAACAAGAAAGGAAAATAGAGAAATTATTTGTATTTTCACCAAAAGGTTTGTTTTGGAATCGGAAACGTTTTTCATTTGAGTGATCATCGGCATCAGAGAATGACAGAGAGGGGCAAAACCACCAATTGAAACTCCCCACAGCCCTCTGATTTCACAGCAGCCTCAACTGATGAGATTTTTTGCTATTTTATACATGAGGCTCATATCTCACTATGATCAGGCATTGAGTTTCTCAAAATCGCCACGGCTGCAATCTCCTCCAGATTGCCCTGCAAAGATATGAGTTTAATACCATCTCAATGCAAATCAATAATGCCATTTGCCAAGAATCATATCATCACTGCCTCAAAAATTTCACTTTTACCATTATTTTTAGTATGATCCTCGCTGTTTGGGTGTTAACACAGCCACATAGCAGCGAGAACAAAAGAACAGTAGCAGCAACAGCAATAGCAGATCAACAACATGCATCTCTCGGAGCTAGATTTACAGAAAGAACTAAGCACCGGTACTTGATTCCAGCAAGAAATTGTGGGCTTACCAGCAAAACTGAACGAATGCATAAATAAATAAATAAATCATATTTCTCATTGATGCTTCATTCTATGAGCTTACTTTCTCTATGTTTGGCCATTGAGGGGTCAGATTTACTGTATTTGAACAAAGCAAAAGAGAAGGCGGCAACCCCATGGCTGCATACACCAGTTTGCTATACAAAAGACATACTGGGTCGCCTTGCCATGATACGGGTCGGGTATCTTCTCAATGCCATGACTGAACATAGCCCAGAAAGATAAGCAATCTTTATAACCCCCATACAACATCAGTAGCAGCATCACAAAAAGAAGAGGAAGAGGAATATATTAGGGTGTGTTTGGATGAAGTATTTTATTTTTTTCTATTTTCTTGTTTATTTGAAAGGGCTGTTGTTTTTTTGGTTATAAATGGAGAAATCATGGGCATAGCTTTGCAGAAAATCCCAGTCCGTCTGATGCCTCATTCTTCTATATTTCTAGGCTTTGCTCAACTGATACTGAAAAAAGATGGTGATACATTAGGCTGCAAGATGATTTGCAACTTGTAGCAGAAAGTGTTCGACATATCCCAACACTGAATCATGGAAAAGATTCTGCTTTTTTTTTCCTTTCAAGCAAATGGGTCTCAGATGTGTGTTTTGGTAAGACAAAAGAGAAGCCAGCCACGCCATGGCACAACCGATTGCACGTGAAAGAGGAGCCTCAAATCACAGCCCATTCCGGTGTTTGCCAAGCCAAGATACGGGTCAAATTGTCTCTATGCAGTAATGGTTTATAGCCCAACTAAACAAGTACAATAACTGCCTCTTTCAGAAAATGTTTCTTTCATACATTTGATGTAAGTATGGAAGTTTTGGACTAAGAGCATACTAAGAATCCAGTAATGCCTAAAGCAAAGGTGCCATTGAGGTCTTCTTTATCACCGCATTATAGTTTCTTCCCCATTTTTTGGTGTGTAGCTTTTCAAGGTAACAATACATACAATGAGAACCACCATCCAAACAGGCTGCTACTGTAACATAGACAGACAGACAAATGCATATCCATCCAGAGGCGGATTCGGGGTTTGAACTTTATTCGAGTTAGAATTTCTACCACAACCCATTTGAGTTACTGGGTTTGCAATATATTAGTTGTGGCAGAAGGTCGGATGTTCGACATATCCCAACAACGAATCATGGATAAGATTCTGTTTTTGTACTTTCAAGCAAATGGGGCTCAGATGTGTGTTATGATAAGGCAAAAGAGAAACAAACAACGCCATGGCTGCAAAAGACAGATTGCATGTGAGAGAGAAGATTCAAAACTCTCCACACAGCCCAAATCGGTTAGCCGAGATATAGAAATATCATCATCACTGCCACTTTGTGTACCTTCCATCAACACTGTAAAAGAACACAGGAAAGACAGAGATGTCAATATGCAACATCAGCAACAACAACAGAGTATAATCCCACAAGTGGAGGGTCTGGTGAGAACAGTGAGTACCCTGCCTTATGCAGGTAAAGAGGCTGTTTCCAAACAGAGATGTCAGTATATATATAACATAAATAATTTCTGCTGCTTCTGCTTTTGTCATAAAGACATAAACAAGGGCTGTTGGTTCTTCTTTTTTTTTGGTTTTTAAATAATGGAGGAAAATCAGTTGGTGAAACAGAGAGGGGCAACCACCCTTTCAAAGAAAATCCCAAACTCTGTTTTTGCCTCATTTCTTTAATTCTTCTGGGCTAACCTTTTCCCTTCTCATAATTGCATACTTGTGAGGTCTCAAAAAATAAGGGTCAGTTTCTTAGAGCTGATAAGCTGATTTTGGAAGCACGGCTAAACAGGCTATTACAAAATAAGCTGATTTTAGAAGCACGGCCAAACAGGCTATTACATGGGCCTTTTCGTGAGGGCTCAGATTTGCTGTATTATTTGTCAAAGCAAATGAGAAGGCGACGCTGCCATAGCTGCAGACACCAGTTTGCTATACAAAAGCCGTACCGGGTCGCCCTGCCAAGATATGGGTCGGATATTTTCTCAATGCCACATGAATTGAACATAGCCCAGAAACTAAAAGCAAAAATCACAGCCCCTTTATACACCTCAGTATTCAGTAGCAGCAACACAAAGAGAGGAGGATGAGGAAGAGCAATGTATTAAGGGTCTGATTGGATGATGATTTTTTTTATTTTTTTTTTGGGTTTAATTCGAAAGGCTGTTGATTTACAATGGAGAAATCGTAGGCAGAACAGAGCTCATTCTTCTCCTTTTCTCAGACAAAAACCCAAAAAGCTTTGGAAAAAGACTGTCATGGCTGCAAGCATCAGCTAGTCTTATGAAACAGGAAAAAAAAACACAAATGAATTTTTCTCCAATATCTCAAAGACCCATCTGAGCTGCCACGCCAAGATTACAATTTTTTCCCAGCTCAAAAGATTTATAAGTCTGATTCATCTTCCACAGAAGAATAAAATCTTCATAGCCTCATTGAGTCACATAAATTGAAAGGGAGGGAGTAATACGTATTTTCATCAAAAGGGTGGTTTTAAAAATGGACATTTGAGCGATCATCGGCGGCGGACAATTACAGAGGGGCAAAACCACCCAATGAAACTCCCTACAGCTCTCTGCCTTGACCGCAGCCTCAGACTAACGGCTCATATTTGCTGTATTTTTTGTCAAAGCAAATGAGAAGGCGACGCCACCATAGCTGCAGACACCAGTTTGCTATACAAAAACCGTACCGGATCGCCCTGCCAAGATATGGGTCGGATATTTTCTCAATGCCATGAATTGAACATAGCCCAGAAAGGAAAAGCAATCATATCACAGCCCCTGTATATACATCAGTATTCAGTAGCAGCAACACAGAGAGGAGGAAGAGCAATATATTAAGGGTCTGTTTGGATGATGATTTTTTTTTGGGGGGGGGG